AGAGACGGGAAAGTAGCCGTGTCCTCCTCTTCACTATCTCACCAGCCACGAGCAGTCCTACCAGCCCACAGCCTGCTCCCTGCTGACCTCCCTCTCTCAGCTTTGAGGCCACCTTGGTGATGTGAGGATAAGGGCTGGAACTTTGTCACAAGTGTCACGTGAACACTTGCACGTGGGCCTTTCCCGGCCAGCCGGTTGCATCCTGCGTTTGACATCACCTCATCCTGCAGAAAGAGTTTGGTCTCACTGACAGGAACAACTTGGAAGCCACAAGATCAGAGCTGCTCTGACTCTGGTCACCTTTCAGAGCCAGCATTGCCATCCCTGGTGCCACTCCACACCACAGGACACGGGGCTGCAAGAGAAAACTTTTTCTCCATGCTCCCCAAGCTTCATCCCTTCAGCTGATGACTCCATAGACTGCAAAGCTCAAGTGAACTCTCGCCCGGGGCAACAGCGTGGACACCGACATGTAAAGACAAGTTTGCTCACTGCTGTTTACAAGGAGAGGCCTCGGGTTTTGGCTGGTAGGGACAGGCAGAGGCCTCCTCTCAAATTTCAGGTGAGGATCTGACCAGAGGGCAGGGAAGGGCTAAGGCAGGACAGGGACTGCCCCAAGCGACAGGAGAACCAGCATTTCACATTCTGCCTCCCCCCTCACCTCCCAAAGCACAGATCAGAGGCCAGGTCTCCTCCTCCACCGGCCCATTTCCCTCCACGGCTGTCACCACAGATCTCCATCTGCAAAACCAAGGATGTCACTGCACCCAGCCAGGGATGATCACCTCCAGCAGGAGCTGTGCCCCAGCCCCATCGAGCACCCGTCGCTCCCCCGAGGGAGGGTGCAGCTCCACCGCAGGCTCTCTCCAGCAGCAGAGCCAGTTGAAGAGGTCCCTACCCCACCTCACCTCCCTATCTCTGGTTGCCACCTCTCCAGTCCCACCAGGTTTGCTGGTGGGACAGCCAGCTCACAGGCAACGCTTTGGGTTAGAACGCCACCCCTCCCGCCAACTTTTATCTAGGGCATGATCCATCATCTCCAGAAGCAGCATTAGGCTCAGGGGCATCAGCTCCCGAGGCGCTGACAGAGGGAGGGAGGGAGGGAACCTCCAAAACCAGCTCTGCCACACCGGCAATCCCAACTGGGAACCACACCCCGAGATACAGACTGCTGACTTGACAGAGAGACCACAACAGGCAGGGTTTGTCCTTAGGGTGGTGGCCCCCTCACACTATGCTCCCGGCTCCCCAAGCCTTCCCGACATGATCCAACACCGCTGCCCTTCACTCCTCACCCAGACCACGGCTTCAGCGACGTGCTAATCCCAACTGGAAACTCACAGAGTCCTGCTGGTCTTGGTTCACAGCAGAATTAGCCCTGGAGCAGACAGAAGTTGTGATCTCCTCCCGCTTCCAGCACCCAGGAATACTCAATGACTCCCAGGACTGGCAGAGTGTCCCGCTGAGGAACCCTCCAGCAGCTCCACAGGTTCCCACAGATCTGGACGGGTGTAGCAGCTTTGTGTGCAGTAAAAGAGTAAATTATTTCTTACTGGAATGAGAGAGGAATCCTCACTCAGTGCTGCAACAGCAAGACGGGAACACCTCGCCTCGAGCAGGCTCCTTAGAGAAGCGTTGCGTCAAACAGCTCATGCTCACGTTGCCACCCCTGTCTTTAAGAAGCCCAGGCTCCAGCTCCAGGTGCCAGCGTGCCCCTGTCCTCCTCCTGGGGAGCTGAGGAGCTTGGTGTGACCACCCAGCAACAGGCAGCAGAAGACATCCAAGTCTCAGAGAAGGACCATGGCACTGTCAGTGCCAGGGCTGGACTGTCACTGGGGCCGCAGGATACAATAGAGCATTTCAACTCCTCCATCCAGGGCCTGCACAACATCTACAGCTCTGAAAGCCAGCACCTCAAACCCCAAAGTTCTGCCTCATAAAGCTGAGGAGCAGCAAGATGGAAGCTGACCTAAAAGAAAACTACTCATCAGTGTCTGAGAAGTCCCATCCTTTGCCACTCACGGTGCAGGGAGGCCCAGATATCCCTTAACCCACTGTTGTGTCCCCTCCCCGTGTCAGCCTCCCAGAGCTGGGACACAGCTTCTTCCACACACTAATTGTTTCAGGTGGGTGCAGGACATCTTCCCAACGACACCCCTGCCTCCAGACCAACTCACCCAGGCTTTTATAATCCCGAGAGCCAGGGATGTAGAGCCCAAACTAGGAAGCAAGCACAGTTAGAGCGGCGTGACCCACCACCAAACTCTTGTAGGAGCATGATTAGACCTGAAGCAGAGGTGAATTTCTCCTCAACACCCAGTTCTTTCACTGACACTGACAAATCCACTCAGAAAACATACATAGATGAAATTTTGTGGAACCAGAGGAAGGTAAAAGTATCGGTCACTAAATAAAATAACCAAAACACTCAAGACTTCCCCTATGTCCTGATGGAAACCAGTCAGGTTTAAGGCCAGGGTGACACATGGAAAGATGCAGTTGGTGTAATTAACCCTGGCACACCAGATTGCAGGCTTCTCTCACCATCTCGGGCTACTGGTACCATCAAACCACACTGTTTGCACGTGCAATTAATTCAGCTCCTTCACCGCTTCAAACTCTTCTGGTCAAGGTTGTTCAGCTGGTAGGACTGCTATCACACTTGGATTTAATTTATTTTTTTTAATATATTTCTTCTTTTGTTATCACACCCACGTCGATCCCCAGTCACACACGAGAAACAGAGCTTACAGCAGCAGAAACATCCTGTACTACCAACTACCTGTTTCCCTGCCTAGAACTTTTAATGTAGGCATATTAAAACCAACTCCCAAGACCAAGACATTTGAATATCCCACTCCCACGTGTAAGTCGTATTCAGCACTTTTGTCTTCCTGGATAATTCACCCGTGATACCTTGTTCTGCAAGGGCCAGAAACTCCCTAAGAGAATGGCTCCCCACATTTTGAAGCATGTATCTTGGGGGGAAAAAAAAAAATCCAATCTTTTTAAGGTCCTTCAATAGGGGAGCTTCACTAACACAGCAAAAAAGCATTAAAGAAGCTGGAAGTTCCCAGGAAAAGCAAATCAGGAGGCATGACCTAAGCCTCATCTACCACACAGGGGTCATGTCACCTCTTCTCGGCTCCAGGCCAGCAGAGACAACATGCACAGGAGGCCACAGAAACCCAGGTGAGCTTCATCCTCTGCTTGCTGCCCACGTGCCTTCCCGAGCCCCTTAAGCACAGAGCTCATCACCCTGCAGCCATTTATCCAGCTTAGCACATTCTGCTGGAGCCCAGGCCACCTACACTGGGACAGCAACCCTTCATGATGATTCTTATTTATGGGATTATAAGCAATTTTAAGCAGGTAACTTGCTGGCCGCTAGTCCCCCTTCATCTGCCTCGTCTTCTCCAGACATTTTGGGTTATTTCAGCTGGTCAAAGCGTATCTAAGATGATAGTTTAACCAAAATCTGAAGCAGGCATTGCCTCCAAGAGAAGCTCTCCCGCCACCCTGACTGAAAAGGTCACTCCCCAGTCAAACCAGCACCTTGAGAGGGGTGCCCCACCGTTGTGGGACCAAGTGTGTCAGGACGAGGTGGCACTGCTGCTTTTGGCAGAGTTGTCACCTTAAAGCATCCGCCAAAGCACTTGGGAAAAACAAGGCATCCTGAAGGGTCCACGGATGTAGCACAGTTTGTTTGTTTGGGTGTTTTTTCTGTAAGCACCCTCTCAAAAAAGCGAACAAAGATTAAAAATCACTTCAAATCAGAGTCACTTCAGGTTCCCAAAGAGGGCTAAGGCGGCTGACTATAAAGTATAGATGCCTGTCACCAAATTATCTGGTGTGAGCATCTTCTCTGCAAAAAGTAAACACGCAACAGACACCAAGAAGCACCACAAAAAGAGCACACCTTCAGTAAACCAGGTGTTTGGACAAAACACGACCTGTGCAGCATCCTCCTCTCCTCTGGAATAATAGTTTCTACCCTCACTAGAGGATTTTTGTCCCTTGGCCACCTACGAGGTGTGTGGTGACTATAAATCCCCAGCCTCCTTTCTACAGTCAGGCACCCAGCAGCAAGAACTGCTTGCTCTCGAGGGCAAAGCTTAACACCGAGTCCACCCTGTCCCACACCAAATGATTTCAGAGTATTAAAGGATAAGGATTTACCCTTAGAGGCAGCACCTTGAAGGTGAGGGTACACGCAGCGCCGTGACTCAGAGAGGAACTCCCATCACAGCCTCAGCTATCACAGAGCTGACGCTCACCCTTCCCAGGGGGTTTAAAACTGCCTCAAAACCACACGAAACCAACCTGCAGAAGACACAGCAGCTTCTCTCCTTCCCCAGGATCTCCAGGAATATCATCTCAGAGTCTCAAACTGCTCACGGGTGCAGCCCAACTCGCAGACCCCGACCAGCAGCGCAAACACCAGACGAGCCAGAGCTCCTGACAGGACCTAACAAGGACCCGAATTTGGGAGCAGCTCCCCCCAGAAGAAAACACCCGGAGAAGACGCATGCACAGGGACACAGGCACAACTAAATCTGAGCCTGAAGCTGGTTCTCTCAGATCTCACAGCACACTCAAATCAAGTCCAGGCCAACATCCCGGTAACACAGAGTATTTCAGCTTCTCTGCTCGTTACAAACACACGGAGAAAACCTGCCGTGCCACAAACTACACCAACACTCAGTTCACATTTCTATCCAGCAGCTTCGCAAAGCAACTCAGGCCCCAGCCCTCCCCTCTTCCAGAGTTCAGCAGCCAAGTGCCCACTTCGTTAGGGCAAACTTTGTGACACAAACAGGACCCACGAAGCCATCTAAGCCACCGCCAGCTGAGCTGACAGCCTCTGCGCAGGCCGCAGCGATCCATCACAATGCTTTTTTTTTTTGGGTTGTTTAAACCTGTTGACAGTAAAAGCCTTTTCTTTCTTCCGTTGCAACAGAACCAAGAACAGACTTTGGTTGTTCAGGGCCAATACTGACCAGTCTTTGGCTGTAACGGATCCTTTCTTCCTCGGGCTCCATCTCCGACTCTTCTGAAGAGAGCGAGAAGGACACTCCAGGACTGCTGTCTTCCTCCTCTTCCTCCTTTGAAGGCAGAGGGAAACAGTGAAGCAGGGCACACAGACACGAAACCCCCTCATCCCTCCTCTTTTTCCGCTCATTTTGAGGCCGATCCCGTGCCACCGTGGAATTGAACGCGGCGGGTGAACCCACCTCAACTTTTAAGGCTCCCATTCTAACTTTAGGCATGACCTCGGCTAAATGACTTTACCAGCTGTCCTCTAACACAACACGAGCTACAGGTCTGGGATGAGGAAAAGGCCTCCCGTTCCCCACTACTACCAGCACAAGTGGCAGCTCCTTCAGCTCACGGTGGGGTAGGAATCAGGCAAACTGCTGTCAAACGCTCGACGGCAGTCGGGGAGCAGCCTGGTTTCCCCAAAATATAAGGTTATACATTAGAGAACCAACTTTTCCTAACAACCCAATTGCCATAATCTGGATATCCTGCACCGTGGCACTCAGGAGAAGTCACACAGGTCCAGGACACCTCCAACAGGGAAGGTGTATGGGACCTTCTACACACACAGCTGAGGGTCGGGGGACTAACTCCTGTCTGCAGAAGACCTCCAAGCTCAGATCCCCAAACCTGCCACCTTGTGACACCACACAATAACACGGGGAAAAAAAAAACACCAACAACCTCCCAAGGTGTCAGATGACACCTAAACTTTTTTTTTCCCCCTCTCCCAACTTTTAAAAGGAACGGAACGAAACCAAAACCTACGTCTACCGCTGCTCTTAATCCCCGGGACCGTGTCTCCAACCAGACCTTCGGGGGAGGAACCGGCCACCCCCCGTAGCCTGACGGAGCCGCTACCGGAGCCGGGGGAGGAGGTTTCACCCCGCTCTTCCCCGACCGGCAGCGTTTGACAGCGGGAGCCCCGTCGAGCCCCGACGGCATCATCTCCCCCAACACCCCC